GAGCCACGCGCGGGGCAGGGCCCCACCTCACCCTCTCGGGGTAGAAAAGAGCCATGTTCCAGACCACGGCACCGCCCCAGTCGTGGCCCACCAGCACGGTCTGCGTGATGCCCTGCGGGGAGGGGGGGGTCCTGAGCGCACCCCCGCGGCTGCACCCCAGGGAGCACCTCAAAACCCAACCCAAAAGCAGGGCCCAAGAGCGATGAGCAGGTGAGAGAAGAGCTTTGCCTTCCTCCGATCCAGCATTGCTTCATCACCCGGAGCCATTTGCTCCAGCTTAATTAAACATTCCGAGTACCTGGGCCCTCCAGAGGAAAGGGGTTCAACATTATCTGCCAAAAAAACATGTCTGGAGGCTGCTCGCCCCCCTGGGATCCCCCATACGGGTCGTCCCTGACCGCTGCCACCGCACCGGGTGACAGCATGGGGGTCGCCTCCGTATGGGCGCAGCCGAATAAGCCCCCAGCCCCTCTGGGAAGGGGCTCACAGCGTCCGGCCGGATCCTGCCCGGAGCCGGGCACGCTGAGCTCACTGCTCCCCCTCTGCTCCATTCCTTTTTCCTGGCCCCTCCGGGCACCTACAAATAAATCCAATTAAAACCCCGCGCTCCTGACAACGCAGCGGCGGGTTCGTAATTAGCTGACCCCAACCCCCCCGGGGGGGTCCTGGGGGGGGGGAGAAGGAGCCTCCCGGGGGGGGAGAGGAGCAGGATGGGCCCCTCCATACAGGATGCCACGATCTCAGGTCTCCTCCATGCCCCGAGGCAACGCCGGCCGCACATCATGGGCGCTTTTCCAGCCATTTTCCTTCTCATTCCTGACCCAGCGTGAAGCAATTCAGTGGCAAAAAAAAAATCAGGGGGATTTACCCTCCCCTGTTCAGCACCAGAGCGGAGCCACAGCCCCCATCCATGCCCTCCCAAAAACCCATCCCGGGCACAAAACCGCCCCCGCCCCTCGCACAAGGAGCCCTTTGCAAAACCTCGGGGGCTTTGTTTTCCCCTGTTTTCTTGAGGGGTTTTTTTGGTTTGGTCGGGTTTTTTTAGCGCTGTGCTTTTCGAAGGGCTCGCTCCCTTGGAAGCCACCGCCCAAGGAAAAAGCCCTGGAGATGCCGGCGTTTGCGGGCTGGGCCTTCCTCCCCTCCCCTTCATCTCTTTTAAAAGGCACAAAAATCACCTCCATCCTCTTGCTGGGATGGGAATTAAACCCAGAGCTCCCACACCCAAGGGGATCGGATGCCGAGGTGACCCTGGACCCGAGCCCTGCCAAGGGGCAGCGTTGGTCCCCGGTCACCCCAGCCACCCGGGAGCTGCTACGGTTGGGGTTTAAGAGGGGGGCAGAGGTGATGCAGCCCAGCATCCTTCTCCACGAGAATCTCAGTGACTTACCCAAACCCTGCCGAGCCACGGATGCCACCAGCCCACCTCCCCGTCCTCAGCAAGGACACAAGGTCCAGGAGAAGGTGAGGCAGAGCTGGAGACCCTCCCGAGGATGGGTTCTCCCCACTGGCCATGGGTGGTATGAACATCCGCATCCCTAAAATCCCATCCACGGGGAACACGAAGACGGGGCTTGTGCCACCCCAAGGGTTTTGGACCAAAGTCACCGGGGAGCTCAGCTGCCCCTGCATGGGAAGGATGAGGCACGCGCCCAGACCTTGCCAAGGAGGGACCCATCGCGGGGGGCTCCTCACCAGTTTGTCCAGAAACACCACCAGGTCCTGGGGGAAGGAAGGAGAGAAGGGGTCAGCTCCTGCCGGGGGCCAGGCCCTACCAGCCCACAGCACCCTCCACGCCGCACTCCTCCTGCCCACGTCCGTGCCCTGTGGCTCCTCACCTTGCATATCTGCTCCTGGGAATATTCTTTTATGTCTGCACAAAAGAGATAATCGCCGTCACTTGAACATCTAAGGTTCTACGGGCGCAGTTTGCGCCCATCTGAGGTGCTGGGGCTGCAGGAGGAATGGGACACCCCCAGCCCCCCGCCAGGAGAAGACTCTTCCAGCCATCTCCTCCTGGGTCTTGGCCTTGGGCTTGGCAGCTCCAGCCCCGTGGGTCCCTGTCCCCGCTACGCCCCGGCATGCCCAGCTCACCCGGCGGGGCCGTGGACTCCCCGTAGCCCTTCATCTCCAGAGCGATCACCCTGAAGCCAGCATCAGCCAAAGCTGGGATCTAGGAGGGAAAGCAGCAGCCTTTGAAGGACACAGAGACCCTCCTGGACCTCCCAGACCAGCACCCATCCTGCTCTGCCCACCCAAGCACATGCTGGCCGTGCCCGGAGATGTCCCCAGGAGGGCAGGCGTGGGCTGGTGTGGCCCGAGGGTGAGGAACCCTCCTGGGCTGTGTCCCGTGTCCCTCAAGGCTGAGGGCAGGGGGGTGGGATGGCCCCAGGCCCCCCCAGGAGTGGTGGCCATGCACCCCCTGCACCGCAGTCCAGCCCCCGTGGTCCACCTTCCTCCCCATCTCCTCCATCACCTGGTAGCGCCAGGAGAGCCAGGACTCGGGGAAGCCGTGGCAGAGGCAGACGATGGGGCCGTGCCCCATTTCCACGAAGTGCAGCTGGACGCCGGGCTGGAAGGGAGGGAGAGCTCTGGCCAGCTGCAGGTGGCACGGCTTCACCCCCCCAACCCTCCACCCACCATTGGCCACCAGGCGCGGGACCCCACCACCCCACGTTTTTGGCCCCTGGGTTGGATGGAGAAGACCTCAACGATGGGGTAATTCAGCATCCCCCACCCAGAGCAGCCCACGCAGGAGGGTGGACAACCCAACAAGCCACCCGTTGGCTGACACATCCTTCCACGGGGCTTTACACCCTCCCCACGACGCCTGCCCCCCCGCCCAAGCCCTGCCAAGCCCAGGGCCAGCTCATCACTGAGGCAGCCCCCTCCACCCTACCCGGATGGGCACGTATCCGTGGGTCACGTTGGCTGGATTGCAGGCCGTCGGCAGGGGCTCTTCTTGGGTGAGAAGCTACAGGGTGAGGAGCAGAGGGTGAGCTCCTGAGCAAGCCTGGAGCTCCACGGGACATCTCCACCACCCCGCTGCTGGTGGGACAGTCGTGGGTTTGGGATGGACATGGCTCCGCAGGCCCAGGGGATGAGGCTATGGGGGGTGGGCAGGGTTTGTAGGAGACCACAAACCCCATCCCACTCGTTTCCAAAGCCACCCACAAGTCCTGCACCAGCACGGCAAGACCCAGAAGCCCAATCCCATCCCTCCCGGCTCTGCAGATCTGGTCCAGGATCCCCCAGGAGAGCAGGGGACAGAAAGGACCCAGACCACCACTACGTGCCTGGACACCTGAGAGCTCCTCCAGCTCTTTCAGGACGCTTTCGGTGTCCCTGACGAGGACAGTGGCCATGCCCATCTCCTGGGCCGGCTTCAAGTTCTCCCCGATGTCGTCCAGGAGGATGGCCTGGAGATACAGCAGTGAGAGCCAGGCTCGGCACCCCGGTGAAGGGCGGCCGCTGGCTTTGGCCAAGGAATTTGGGTGCTTGGAGGGACCTCCCCCACCCCGTGCCCTGTTTTTAGGCTGTACCTCCTGCGGCTTTGCCTGCAGCGCAGCCAGGGCGTAGGCGTAGATCTCGGGGTCCGGCTTGCACACTCCCAGGCGGCAGGACTCGAGCACCAGGTCGAAGTGGCGGCGCAGCAGGTTCATCAACGTGGCCGTGAAGAGCCGCCCCGTGCTGTCATCCACCCAGTTGTTGGTGAGGACGCAGGTCTTAAATCCTAGGGAAGGCCAGAGCGGGGGGGGCACTGGTTTTCCCACTCCACCTCTCCCCCAAGCATTTGATTTCACCTCTCCTCCCCAGCCACGTTTCTCAGATCTTCCCAGCCCTCAAATCTCCCATTTGCAAGGCTTTATTTGGACCAGGACTCCCAGCAGGAGACACAAGGATGCTCAGCAGGAGCTTATGCCCAATTTGTACTTCCAGCAAAGCAAGACTCGACCCTCCCAACGCAGGTGGGACGTGAGCCAGAGCTTGGGCACAGCGAGGTGCCGAGGGCTGAGCCGATGGACCAGCCACGGTGCGGGGCGAAGGGCTACGGCATCCTCCTGATTGCTGGCTGGGTGACAACAGGTCTGGTGGATTTGGTACCGGGGCTCAGAATATCTAATTTTAGGGGGATGCTGAGAGGTGATGTCGGGAGAGCACTCGGATGATGATGGGGGACCAAGCAGGGACCCCATGATGGGACCAGCCAGGACCCCATGGTGGGACCTACAAGGAGCCCCGTGGTGGGACCAGCCAGGAGCCCATGGTGGGACCGAACAGGATCCCATGGTGGGACTGACCAGGAGCCCTGTGGCAGGGGCCACCCGGGGCCCCACGG